AAACCTGGGAAACAGAAGAGTGTTCAAATGTTAATTTACTTGAGGGCTGATCGAGTGATGTTTGGCTTCAGAATGTCGATATATGCATCTAGTTTATTTGCTTCTTCTGTAGTTCAAATGTTAGTTTCCTGTAAAAGTAGGATGTCAATATTGTGTTTATTTATTATGTTGTTTATATAATGTGTTTGTCCCTAGCCCCCCTGATGTTCAATGTTGCCAGAGTTAGCATGAATTATTTGGGGTTTTCTTTCGAACATCTGTTTCTGGAGGGCTGGATGGTGGTGGTCTTTTAACGCCAAACTTTCCAGCCGCTGGTTTGCTATCCCGTTGGGCCCTGGTCACGACCCTTTGAGGTGGCTTTACTGTAGGTAATTGATTTCTACTTGAACTGATTGCTTGACTATATGACAGTTGACCTGATACCTTTGTTGCTGATATACTTTGTGAGCTTTTAATTTCCTTTAGCGGTTTCGTTATGTTTTCTGAACTAGTGTTATCTTGAAGAATATCATTTATTGTTTCGTCGACTGCCTCCAAATTTTCTTGATTCCCATCTTTTTGAGACCCTGTTACTATGGAATTTCCGGTCGCTATTGTCTCCATGGCTTCGGCCTCTATGGTGGTTTCTGTTACGCTTTCGTTAAATTGCTGTGATGCTGCAGTAGTATAATGTGTTTCAGTTTGGCCATCTACTCCAAAGGCATCTTCTACCTCTCTATGCCTTGCTTCTCTAAGCATTTCATTTTGTCTTTCTCCGTCAACATTATAACTGTCCCAATGCTTTAAGAAATTTATATTGTTACTTAGATGCTCCCTAACTTCTTCTTTATCATTTGCTCAATTGCCCTGTACTGTCCATCTACTAGCTGGACGCCGTCAAGAGCGCGAGTCCTTAAATGCTCACACATTTTAGGCAGGTGCCTGTCTGTGTTGCAGTGGCAACATTGCACCCTCCTCGCATTGAGGATTATAAGGACTCTGCTCTCCTTGTTGGCCTCATTTGTAAGTATAATATAGTGTGGGACACTCTCCACATCTTGTTTCTCCAGAGAGATGGTGAATTGGACCACATTCGTTTGGTCTATTCTCTTAAATGTTGGTGTTGAATCCTGACTGCTAATAGATTTCAGAATCGCCATTATATCATCGTCGCTTGTCTTGGAAGGCAGCCATTTTAGCATGCCCCTTTGCCCAGATTTGTCGGCGTGGGTTATTGATATTCTCTGCACTCTGTATCTGGATGTTACCCCAGGTGGCAAATCTCTGTGAAATTCTTTTAGGTGCATTTTCTCATATAGTTCCTTTGATCTAATGGTGACATACCATTTACGCAGTGTCCCATAGTTATACAGACCTTCAAATTCAGCTGGTGATAGGCTACATAACATACATAGCTCTCTTTTTAGTTCGTCAGCTGTGAGGGTAGCTTAAGAAAAACCCTCTTCTATGAAAATCTCTAGAGTTTTTGGCGCATGTCCTGCCAAGCCAAACTTAGGCAGGAATAGCCGTTTGATGTATTTTTCCGACATAGTTGTGCGTGAGGCCCACCCGGGGCCAGACAACACACACAAGAAATAAAAAAGAAAAAAGTACTTACAATGTATAAAATGTGAAGAAAACAAAATTAACACACACACAAGGTTCCAAATGGAAATCTTATATATAAAGCTCAATTCTGTATGTAACATGTTTGTCCTTATGAAAAGCAGTTTTATTTTATCTCTGTATAAGAAGAAATGACTAAATAGCTAAACTTTTATAAAATTGAAAACTAATATACTTTATCTTTAAGATAAACTCGGAGAATCAAACTATTAGATTGTTCTGCAAAGAGTTTTTGTATCAAATTTGAACCACGTCTCAACTAACCAGCAACCGCCTGACCATTAGCTCAACAAATAATTTTGTATGATTTATTAAAAAAATTAATGTAGGCTTTGTTGGTGTGGGTAGACACGCATTTCTTGTATATTTTTTAAAAGCCCTTGCTTAAATCTTTTATATTGTTTGTATCAGGCTAGCTTTCTATAAAATGCTTAATATAAAATGTAATTGATGTAAGTCAACATTACACAATGCCAAACATTTCAATAATGAATGGTAAAAGTAAATATTACTTCCCTTGTCTTGGAATTATTGTTGTTTGTAAGCATTGTTTAAAAATGAAAGGCGAAAATAAGCATTCATTCCCATGTCTTAGAACTAACTGGTGAAAGTTACTGCCCTTGACCACATGAGAAGAGTTACCCAACACCTTCAACATTAAATGACTGGTCTATTAAAATTATGTGAACAAAAAGTACGTTCACTTATTTTTTTAAATGTGTGGGTGGGTGGGGTGTGGGTGGGTGGGGTGTGGATGAAAGTTGAGTACTGTTATTTAAGGTAAGAGAGGGGGGGGGGGTCTGGCATTGTGACGATGAGTCATATGACACCCCAGAACATTCTTAGACAACCCTCACTAAGCTAGGACAAAGGACAACCCTGGCCATGATAGGACAACCTATAGGACAACCCTTACCATCCTTGGACAATTCGGACCATCATAGGAGAACCCTTACCACCATTGGGCAATCCTATGAAAACCCTGACCATCTAGTACAACCCTGATCAACCTTGGACAACCCTTACCATCCACGGACATCCCGTTTTTACTGTATATCCATTGGTTCCTATTTAACTTCAGCTCCTCAGTGTACATGAACTGGAAACCTTCCATTTACTCTGTTCTCATCTTCCATTTACTCTGTTCTCATCTTCCATTTACTCTGTTCTCATCTTCCATTTACTCTGTTCTCATCTTCCTTTTACTCTGTTCTCATCTTCCATTTACTCTGTTCTCATCTTCCATTTACCCTGTTCTATTCTTCCATTTACTCTGTTCTCATCTTCCATTTACTCTGTTCTCATCTTCCATTTACTCTGTTCTCATCTTCCATTTACCCTGTTCTATTCTTCCATTTACTCTGTTCTATTCTTCCATTTACTCTGTTCTATTCTTCCATTTACTCTGTTCTATTCTTCCATTTACTCTGTTCTCATCTTCCATTTACTCTGTTCTCATCTTCCATTTACTCTGTTCTATTCTTCCATTTACTCTGTTCTATTCTTCCATTTACTCTGTTCTATTCTTCAATTTACCCTGTTCTATTCTTCCATTTACCCTGTTCTATTCTTCCATTTACCCTGTTCTATTCTTCCATTTACCCTGTTCTATTCTTCCATTTACTCTGTTCTATTCTTCCATTTACTCTGTTCTATTCTTCCATTTACTCTGTTCTATTCTTCCATTTACTCTGTTCTATTCTTCCATTTACTCTGTTCTATTCTTCCATTTACTCTGTTCTATTCTTCCATTTACTCTGTTCTCATCTTCCATTTACCCTGTTCTATTCTTCCATTTACTCTGTTCTATTCTTCCATTTACTCTGTTCTATTCTTCCATTTACTCTGTTCTATTCTTCCATTTACGCTGTTCTATTCTTCCATTTACTCTGTTCTATTCTTCCATTTACTCTGTTCTATTCTTCCATTTACCCTGTTCTATTCTTCCATTTACTCTGTTCTATTCTTCCATTTACCCTGTTCTATTCTTCTACTTACTATGTTCTATTTTTTCCTCTGCAATGTGACGCCGCCCACCTTTGCCTATATTTAAAACTCTTTGAAGGGCGCCATGTTTTATTGCAGTTTAAGCTTCCAGTGAGTTTTGGCACTTGCCGGCGTGATAAAATATTAAGTCAAGTGCCACCACTCGTCTCAGACTTTAAGTTACGTAGAAAATTCTAAAAATAGCCGCCGCTTCTATTTATTTATGTATTGTTGTTTTGTTTCTGAGTATATTTATCCGTGTAAGTTTTTAAATATGTTATTCTTTAAACTTTTTTTTTTAAATATATATTTTTTTTACTTTCTCGTATATACGAAGTATAGAGAAAGTCTTGTAATCGTGCAAAAAAAAAAAATCGAGATTTTTACAAATCTCGACGTTTTACATCTCACTGATACGGAAAAACATAATTTTGCAATCTTGTCCGTATGTCTGTGTGTCTGTGTGCGTGTGTGTGTGTGTGTGTGTGTGTGTGTGTGTGTGTGTGTGTGTGTGTGTGTGTGTGTGTGTGTGTGTGTAAACACGATAACTTAAGTACCGTTACAGCTAGGTTGATGAAATTTCATATATAAGTATTTTATCAAAATCGTAGATCCGTATCAACTTTTGAGCGATTTCCGATAACCGGAAGTGGTACTTTTTCTACTTTGAATTTTTCAAAAGCCTATAACTTGAGTACTATTTCAGATAGATAAATGAAATTTCACATGTAAGTAAAAGATCTAATTCTCTTCGTTCTGTCAAATTTTGAGTAATTTCCGTTGACGGGAAGTACTAATTTACGCTATTTCCGATTTCTCAAAAACGCATCTAAATTTATAAAGTACTAATAATATTGAGCACCATTATGAACATCTTTATTCGGCGTTCGCTTGGTGTGCAATACTTTTTTCTATGAGATTCTATTTTATTTTTAAAAGTTTAAGTATTTAAAATGGATTAAAAATCATAACTATATCCCGAGTTCCCATCCCCTGTTGTTTTATATAAGAATATTCGAGAAAGTTTAGGGGAGATCACTACCGGTTTATTTTACTATATTATTTTTAAAATAATTTGTTTTAATACATTATTTTTTAAATATATTATTTTTTAAATATATTATTTGTTAAATATATATTTTTATTAAAATATATTATTTATTAAATATATTTTTTTTTAAATATATTATGTTTTAATAGGCCTATATTATTGTTAAAATAACTTATTTATTAATTTTTAAAAAATATATTATTGTTAAAATATATTATGTTATAAATATATTATTATTAAAATATATTATTTTTTAAATATATTATTTACTAAATATATTATTTTTTAAATATATTATTTATTAAATATATTACTGTTTAAATAATTTATGTTTAAGTATATTATTTTCTTCTCTCAGCCGGAAGACGAGAAAAAGCCGTACCGTCTGCCGGACACGATGAGCAAGACGTACAAGGTTGCAATGGACGGGCCGGACGGGCCCCTGACCGACGCCAACATCAGCGACAAGCCGGCTGGTAAACCTTCCGGCGGTTCGTTTACCAGGTAAACCAAAGTTTACATTGGCTAGGTCATGTAGAGGTAAACAAAAGTTTACATTGGCTAGGTCATGTAGAGGTAAACATAAGTTTACATGGGCTAGGTCATGTACAGGTAAACAAAAGTTTACATTGGCCAGGTCATGAGCAGGTAAACAAAAGTTTACATTGGCTAGGTCATGTAGAGGTAAACATAAGTTTACATGGGCTAGGTCATGTAGAGGTAAACAAAAGTTTACATTGGCTAGGTCATGTAGAGGTAAACAAAAGTTTACTTTGGCCAGGTCATGAGCAGGTAAGCAAAAGTTTACATTGGCTAGGTCATGTCAGGTGGAACAAAAGTTTACATTGTGTAGGTCATGAACAGGTAAACAAAAGTTTACATTGACTAGGTCAAGTACAGGTAATTAAAAGTTTACTTTGGCTAGTTCATGACGGGTAAACAAAAGTTTACATTGGCTAGGTCATGTACAGGCGGTAAAAAGTTTACATGTGCTAGGTCATGTAGAGGTAAACAAAAGTTTACATTGGCTAGGTCGTGACCAGGTAAACAAAAGTTTACATCGGCTAGGTCGTGACCAGGTAAACAAAAGTTTACATCGGCTAGGTCATGTACAGGCGGTAAAAAGTTTACATGTGCTAGGTCATGTAGAGGTAAACAAAAGTTTACATTGCCTAGGTCATGTACAGGTAAACAAAAGTTTACATAGCTAAACGGAACACTAACGTTGTGTGGGCAACATTAGCAAGGTTCGTCTCTCTAGCATTTGACTTCTTAAAACAATAGGAGCCAAATATTGTACCTTGCAATGGGTCTACGAAAATTAGTCAACTAAATATTTGAGTCATTATCACACAACATATCATGCCTTTTCTGTCACCATTCTAACTTTCTTCACACGGATAAGCACAGGTAGGATTTGGTCTCAAACTGGACCAGTAGGGCTATATATTATACTAGGTCGACGTACTGGTTTTAGGTGGTGGGCTCCCGATAACCGACTCGACGCGAACTTACGAGAAGTCTGGCGATCTGTTCTACTATGGGACTGGTGACATAATGTCTGTTTTACACAGAGAACAACCGGAGACAGAAGGACAAAACATAAAACTTAACAACACACACTCTTTATTATAATGCTTCAACATATCAAACTTACAACACGTAAAAGTTACAACACAAAAATTTTCCAACAATCAAATTATGTTACAGGACATAAACACACACACACACACAAACACACACACACACACACACATAGGTTTACAACAAAAAACGTGAGTTACAACACATAATTTTACAAAACACAAAGTCACAACATAAAAATACTACAACACAAAAAATTTACAACACACAAAAGTTACAACATGAAAATGTTACAAAAACACAGAAACAAAAAACACAAAAGCAAAAACCACAAATTGTAACAACACACAAAATTCTGTAGCCCTACTATGCCAATATGTCTCATCGATACACATGACTGATTTCACGCGCCATCGACGACATCTGGGTAACACCCCCACCCCCCACACACCCCACCGTGCTATTGATGACATCTGTGTTACACCCCCACCCCCACCCCCTTCCTCCAACATCACACCAACCCACCACCAACAACAACAGCCGGACACCACCACTATGATCATACACCGTACACGCAATACGATAATGCTCATACACAAGTACCATGGCTCTTTTTTTTTTCAAACCTAAACCACACTCCACATATTTTCCCATACACAACGTTACAGTTACCACATATGATGCCCACTACAAGTGCCCTACATCAACTCTAATGCCTACATTCTCATGCCCTACACAAATTCCACGATTGCATTACTTTAAAAAAACAATACTTTGTCGAGTCATACACAGACGAGTCACACACAGACGAACAGATAAACCAAAAGATAACGCAGGTCACGAGAATCACGCGCAGAAAATAATTGAAATTGTTCGATGACTTCGATCGATGATGTTTGGAGATTACAATATTTTTTTCTCTCTTATGCTCGTCCATAAGTGTTAACCCTTTATGGACCGGGCAACAGCACGTGACACATGTTTCAGTCAGTGAGGGGTTAATGGAGCGGATGTGTAGTGTGTTCATGGGATGTCGTGTGTTGCCGTGAACACAGCGGTTTTATGCATGCCGAGGGTATTTCGGAGACTTAACCGGAAATTTCCGGCTTAACGGTTTGATTTCAGACTGTGTTGTATTTAATATTTGATAAATTAATGAGTTTTTAGTAGTACACGTTGTTTGAACGGGGGTTTCACGTACACACGCACACTCACACTTGTCTGTCCACATTAAACACATGCGTATTTCTTGTCTGACCAAAATGTGAAATAAACCAACTAGAACTAGGCCTACTGTTAATATATGCATCAAGCTTTTTATATTTAGGAAAAATAACTAATTAGATGTGAAGGCTAAAGTAGTTACTCCAATACCTCACACTCACACATTTACACACCCACACTCTCTCACACCCTCACTCCCAGACACCCTCACACTATCAGCAGTGGCGAAACAAGCAACCCCCCTCCCCCGCAAAAAAAAAAACTTCTGACCCCATTTATATATATGTGTGTGTGTTTGTGTGTGTTTTGTGTGTGTGTGTGTGTGTGTTTGTGTGTGTGTCTAACAACATTTTAAATTAAATTATCTCCTAATTTAGTACTTTAACCTATTTCTACACAAAGCATGTCCATCGTAAAACAACAAACCACACAAAATATGCACAAACTCATTTCATTTTTGAATAAATCTAATTATAATAAAGTTTTTATCTCATTTTATGCCCGCCGAAAATTATACAAAGTTTATCTTCATATCTGGCAAGTCGGTCGAAACAATCAACACAATATGAAACCCGGAAGCTTAATACGTGTGATGGTTTACAGTCGTTGTTAAAAAAAATTATATTGCCAACTTCGAATACAATCTTATTGATAGCTTCAGCATGCTTTATTTAAATAATAATTAAGAGAAGCAATTGCTTTTTAATCTGGTTAGTACAAAACTATTAGCTTAACGGGCACCCTATTAGACTAAAGAGCAATAAATCATGCAAGTGGTTTGAAGGTTTGGCTATCTTTCACACTACGGCTCATGTTGTTGGGTTTTTTTTCTACGCCCACACACCATCATACCCGCACATCCTCTCTCCTACACTCTCACACGCTCAGCTACAATCACCCTAACACCCTAGCACTCACACACCCACAGACACCCTCAACACCTACCTCCCATACACTCTCACTTATACACCCTTACACTCACACTTCCACACACCCGAACATCGACACACACCCACACACACCCTCACATCCACGCACCCACTCACTCGCACATACCCTAACACCCACACACTCACACACACCATCACATCCGTACGCATACACACACTCACACTCACAAACATTCACACTCACACACACCCACATAATTAAGAGAAGCAATTGCTTTTAAATCTACTTAGTACAAAACTATTAAAATCAGTTGTACGAGTACCCTAATAGACAATTTAAAGTAGAGCAATAGCTCATGTTGGTTTTTTTTCTACGTAACCCCCCCCCCCACACTACCACAAATCCTTACTCCCACACATCCCAACACCCTCACACTAACACACTCCCACTAGCCCTCAAACATCATCAAATCCACACACAAAATCACCCTAGCAGTAACACACCGTAACACTCACACACTCTAACACTCACACACCATCACGCACCCTCACCATCACACCCACACACCCCCACACACACACACACACACAACTCCACTCTCCACACCACATCACGGCCGACATCCTACAGCAGCTTAATCTGTCACCCTAAGCCTAATCCAACGACCCATAAACTCACGCATTAGTGAGCAGCAATTATGTGGGTTCATTCAGGTCTACATTAGCTCACTCAGTGACGTCTATTGTAGCTGACATTTCATGCAATTAACTGTGTGCTAATTGCACGTGCGACACTCACAGTGTGTTAAGCTGAGACCGGAGAACGTGTTTTCTTGAAGTGTAAGCTGTAGGTGTAAGGATACACTTGTGTAATAACTAAGTGTAAGGATACACTTGTGTATTAACTGAGTATAAGGATACACTTGTGTATTAACTGAGTATAAGGATACACTTGTGTATTAACTGAGTATAAGGATACACTTGTGTAATAACCTACTGTAAGGATACATTTGTGTACTAACTGCTGGATGGGATATTTGTAAACATATTGACGTCATGTCCGGGAAAAAACAGACGTACACCGACTCCGACCGGCTGATCGTGTCGGTGTCGGAGCTGGACGACAGCTCTCACAGTCGGGCTGGGCACGGTCATGATGTGCACAGGCACAGACTCAGGTATGTACAGCCGTGGTGTACAAAATTGGGTACATGATGTCCAGTGAGGTGTATGGCCTTCACTCATCAGCTGGGGTTGATGGTTAATGTGTACAATAGATCATTTGCTGAGTTCAAATCGTTACATACATGAAGCTGGCTTTTTTTTACTTATAGACATTTTAACTGTTAACTGTCAACTCATACTAGACCACATAGTAACAACCTACTCATGCTATGACCCAACACCTGCCCTAGGCAACGACCTAACAACCCACTACCACCTGAGCCCTCCTAAATCCCCCACCTCTCCCCCGCTCTTGACACTTATCCACCACTGACCCCACTACCTCGTGTCACTAACCACTGACCCCACTACCACGTGACACTGACCACTGAAACCACTACCTCGTGACACTGACCACTGACCCCACTACCTCGTGACACTAACCACTGACCCCACTACCACGTGACACTGACCACTGAAACCACTACCTCGTGACACTGACCACTGACCCCACTACCTCGTGACACTAACCACTGACCCCACTACCTCGTGACACTAACCACTGACCCCACTACCACGTGACACTAACCACTGACCCCACTACCACGTGACACTGACCACTGAAACCACTACCTCGTGACACTGACCACTGACCCCACTACCACGTGACACTAACCACTGACCCCACTACCACGTGACACTAACCACTGACCCCACTACCACGTGACACTGACCACTGACCCCACTACCACGTGACACTGACCACTGACCCCACTACCACGTGACACTGACCACTGACCCCACTACCTCGTGACACTAACCACTGACCCCACTACCACGTGACACTAACCACTGACCCCACTACCACGTGATACCGTCCTACACACACACACGCACACACACACACTACTATTACCACTGTCCCCCACCTGACCGACCCCTCCTCTCCCCACCAGAGCGACCCCTCCTCTCCTTTCCTGAGCAACCCCTCCTCTCCCCACCTGAACGACCCTTCTCTCCCCCCTTACCGACCCCTCCTCTCCTCACCTGACCGACCCTTCCTCTCCCCTCCTCTCCCCACCTGACCGACCCCTCCTCTCCCCAGCAACAAGACGACCTTGCTAGTGACCTTGAGCATCCTAGTGACGGAGATGTGCGAGCGACTGACCTTCTACAGCATCTCTGCCGGCCTGGTGCTCTTCTGTACGAGCAAGCTGGACATCAAGCAGGCCACAGCCACCACCATCAACCAGATCTTTGGAGGTCAGACACCACTCGCTCGTTTGTTCCTTCGTTTGTTTGTGGATTCATTCGTTCAATCGGTCGTTCGGTTGTTGGTTTAGTTCGTTCATTCGTCCATTCTTATGTTGATTGGTTTATTCATTCGTTTATTCCGTTGTTGGTTTGTTCGTCCATTCGTTCGTTAATTCATTTATTCCTTCATTCTTTTTTTTTTTTGGTTCGTTCATTCGTTCGTTAATTTAATTAATTCATTAATTCATCCTTTTGTTGGTTGGTTCGGCTATTCGTTCATCAGTTTTTGGTTTCGTTCATTCATCCATTCATATTTTTTTCTGTTTGCTAGTTCGTCCATTCCTTATTCGCTTATTACTTCATTACTAGTTGGTTCGTCCTTTCGATCATTCGTTTGTTTGTTACGTCATTCATTCGTTCGCTCAAGCATTGGTTAATTCGTTCACTCACCTTTTTGTTTAAAAGTTCTTTCGTTCTAAACCTGTTGTTTTGTCTGCTCCATGTTTTGTGTATTTGATCAGGTGTACACAAGTCAACAGACTTGTGTACCTGACCAGGTGTACACAAGTCTGTTATTTTGTGTACCTGGCCAGGTGTACACAAGTCTGTTGTTTTGTCTGTTCCAGGTTTTGTGTACCTGATCCCCATCATTGGAGGTTTCGTGTCGGACTCCTACATTGGGAGGTTTAGAACCATTCTGATATCCAGTTGTGTCTACATCATAGGTAGGTTTATATGGGCTTAGCTGCGTCATAGGTAGGTTTATATGGGCTTACATACATCATAGGTAGGTTTATGTGTGCTTAGCTGCGTCATAGGTAGGTTTATATGGGCTTAGCTGCGTCATAGGTAGGTTTACGTGGGCTTAGCTGCGTCATAGTTAGTTTTATACGGGCTTAGCTACATCATAGGTAGGTTTATGTGGGCTTAGCTGTGTCATAGGTAGGTTTATGTGGGCTTAGCTGTGTCATAGGTAGGTTTATACGGGCTTAGCTGCGTCATAGGTAGGTTTATATGTGCTTAACTACATCATAGTTAGGTTTATACGGGCTTAGCTACATCATAGGTAGGTTTATGTGGGCTTAGCTACATCAAGGTAGCTTTATATGGACTTAGCTACAGCAAAGGTAGGTTTATATGGGCTTACATACATCATAGGTAGGTTTGTGTGGGCTTAGCTGCGTCATAGGTAGGTTTATATGGGCTTAGCTGCTTCATAGGTATATTTATATGGGCTTAGCTGCATCATAGGTAGGTTTATATTAAACATCATAGGTTTAGTTGTATGTAAGCTAGGTTGTCTATGTTAGGTGATCTTTCCTAGGTTACACCTAGACAGATCAGTTCAATCTAGACACACATGTTGGAGACGAAGTGAAAAGTTGAAAGGTCACGGGTTCAACATTGTAGTCAAACATTGTAGTTTTAACAAAGCGCACATCGACTACACCTTAACAAAGATTGCAGCAAAGGGAACTTAACAAATTTCAAACCAACCGTGTTAACAATTTATTTTTTAACTGTAAGTGTCATGTGTATTTTAAAAACATGTTTTACAATTTGCAACATCTGTAATGTCGAAGGTTTGAACTCTTACTTAAGAAAAACAATGACTTTATCTAAATAACGAACTGATCAAAACAAGGAATTTATCTAAACAATGAACGGATCAAAACAACGAGTTTACCAAGACGCCATATTTGCCATCCCGAATATGACGCGATAACTTTACCAAAGATAAACTCTCATTTCTTCACTGATTGTCGTTCATAAATCAATGAGAGATAACTCTTGTGTTTACTGCCGGGTTGGTTATCTCCCCGTATCATCGCATATGTCGGTAGCTTACAGTTGTATGCTTGTATCATACAACAGAATCATCATACAACAAGTGGCCGGCGAGTGAACTGAGTTATCTTTCCTGCAGTGGAGGGTTGTTGATACACTTGACAGTATCAGACACCGTTGTCTTGGTTGTAATGGTACTCTAGGGGACTTGGTGGTCAAGAGGGCAGAGGAAGTAGAGTTCACCTGTTGTTTTTTTTTAGATATCTCGGCTAATAAAAGAGTGTCGCAAATACCGCCCCCCCCCCCCCTTAATGTCTCTAACCAGAGTCAGGTACCCATCAGGTAATATGGGACTAAAGTTAGTTCTACTTGCCTAGACACCCCACAAGTGTATCTATTTATATAGACCCTATCTACTTGTCTAAACTATATCTACTTGTCTAGACTATATCTGCTTGTCTAGAGCCCTATCTGCTTGTCTAGAGCCCTATCTACTTGTCTAGAGCCCTATCTACTTGTATAGACCCCTAACTTGTCTACACAATATATACTAGACTATATCTACTTGTGTAGACTATATATACAGTTCTATACTATATCTACAGTTCTAGACAATATGTACTTGTTTATATATCTACTTGTCTATACTGTATATCTGCTAGAATATATCTGCCTGTCTTGAGCCCTATCTATTGATCTAGAGCTCAGTCTACTTGTCTAGAGCTCAATCTATTTATCTAGAGCTCAATCTACTTGTCTAGAGCTCAATCTACTTGTCTAGAGCTCAATCTACTTGTCTAGAGCTCAATCTACTTGTCTAGATCTCAATCTACTTGTCTAGAGGCCCTATCTACTTGTCTACACCCCATCCAAACACGACAATCCAAAAAGACCGGATGCACTCTAACCGCCATTTTGTTTCCCCACCAGGTACCATATTCTTACCTGCGGCAGCTGTTGAGTACAGTGACTGGGGTTGGGGCGAGATAAGTGTGGTAAGTTAGGACAGCTGTAGTGTGGTAAACTTGGACAGCTGTAGTGTGGTAAGTTAGGACAGCTGTAGTGTGGTAAACTAGGAGAGCTGTAGTGTGGTAAGTTAGGACAGCTGTAGTGTGGTAAGTTTGGACAGCTGTAGTGTGGTAAGTTAGGACAGCTGTAGTGTGGTAAACTAGGACAGCTGTAGTGTGGTAAGTTAGGACAGCTGTAGTGTGGTAAGTTAGGACAGCTGTAGTGTGGTAAGTTAGGACAGCTGTAGTGTGGTAAACTAGGACAGTAGTGTGGTAAGTTAGGACAGCTGTAGTGTGGTAAGTTAGGACAGCTGTAGTGTGGTAAACTAGGACAGTAGTGTGGTAAGTTAGGACAGCTGTAGTGTGGTAAACTAGGACAGTAGTGTGGTAAGTTAGGACAGCTGTAGTGTGGTAAACTTGGACAGCTGTAGTGTGGTAAGTTAGGACAGCTGTAGTGTGGTAAACTAGGACAGTAGTGTGGTAAGTTAGGACAGCTGTAGTGTGGTAAGTTAGGACAGCTGTAGTGTGGTAAACTAGGACAGCTGTAGTGTGGTAAGTTAGGACAGCTGTAGTGTGGTAAGTTAGGACAGCTGTAGTGTGGTAAACTAGGACAGTAGTGTGGTAAGTTAGGACAGCTGTAGTGTGGTAAACTTGGACAGCTGTAGTGTGGTAAACTAGGACAGCTGTAGTGGGGTAAACTAGGACAGCTGTAGTGTGGTAAGTTAGGACAGCTGTAGTGTGGTAAGTTAGGACAGCTGTAGTGTGGTAAGTTAGGACAGCTGGAGTGTGGTAAACTAGGACAGTAGTGTGGTAAGTTAGGACAGCTGTAGTGTGGTAAACTTGGACAGCTGTAGTGTGGTAAACTAGGACAGCTGTAGTGGGGTAAACTAGGACAGCTGTAGTGTGGTAAGTTAGGAAAGCTGTAGTGTGGTAAGTTAGGACAGCTGTAGTGTGGTAAACTTGGACAGCTGTAGTGTGGTAAACTAGGACAGCTGTAGTGGGGTAAACTAGGACAGCTGTAGTGTGGTAAGTTAGGACAGCTGTAGTGTGGTAAGTTAGGACAGCTGTAGTGTGGTAAACTTGGACAGCTGTAGTGTGGTAAACTAGGACAGCTGTAGTGGGGTAAACTAGGACAGCTGTAGTGTGGTAAGTTAGGACAGCTGGAGTGTGGTAAGTTAGGACAGCTGTAGTGTGGTAAGTTAGGACAGCTGGAGTGTGGTAAGTTAGGACAGTAGTGTGGTAAGTAAGGCAGCTGTAGTGTGGTAAGTTAGGACAGCTGGAGTGTGGTAAGTTAGGACAGTAGTGTGGTAAGTTAGGACAGCTGTAGTGTGGTAAGTTAGGACAGCTGGAGTGTGGTAAGTTAGGACAGCTGGAGTGTGGTAAGTTAGGACAGCTGGAGTGTGGTAAGTTAGGACAGTAGTGTGGTAAGTTAGGACAGCTGTAGTGTGGTAAGTTAGGACAGCTGTAGTGTGGTAAGTTAGGACAGCTGTAGTGTGGTAAGTTAGGACAGCTGTAGTGTGGTAAACTTGGACAGCTGTAGTGTGGTAAGTTAGGACAGCTGTAGTGTGGTAAGTTAGGACAGCTGTAGTGTGGTAAGTTAGGACAGCTGTAGTGTGGTAAGTTAGGACAGCTGTAGTGTGGTAAGTTAGGACAGTAGTGTGGTAAACTAGGACAGCTGGAGTGTGGTAAGTTAGGACAGCTGTAGTGTGGTAAGTTAGGACAGCTGTAGTGTGGTAAACTAGGATATCTGTAGTGTGGTAAACTTAGACAGCTGGAGTGTGGTAAACTTGGACAGCTGTAGTGTGGTAAACTAGGATATCTGTAGTGTGGTAAACTAAGACAGCTGGATTGTGGTAAACTTGGACAGCTGTAGTGTGGTAAACTAGGACAGTTGTAGTGTGGTAAACTAAGACAGCTGGAGTGTGGTAAACTTGGACAGCTGTAGTGTGGTAAACTAGGATATCTGTAGTGTGGTAAACTAAGACAGCTGGAGTGTGGTAAACTTGGACAGCTGAAGTGTGGTAAACTAGGACAGCTGTAGTGTGGTAAACTAAGACAGCTGGAGTGTGGTAAACTAGGACAGCTGTAGTGTGGTTAACTAAGACAGCTGTAGTGTGGTAAACTAGGACAGCTGTAGTGTGGTAAGTTAGGACAGCTGTAGTGTGGTAAACTAGGACAGCTGTAGTGTGGTAAACTAAGACAGCTGGAGTGTGGTAAACTTGGACAGCTGTAGTGTGGTAAACTTTGACAGCTGTAGTGTTGTAAACTAAGACGGCTGTAGTGTGGTAAGTTAGGACAGTTGTAGTGTGGTAAACTAGGACAGCTGTAGTGTGGTAAACTAGGACAGCTGTAGTGTGCTAAGTTAGGACAGCTGGAGTGTGGTAAACTAGGACAGCTGAAGTGTGGTAAGTTAGGACAGCTGTAGTGTGGTAAGTTAGGACAGCTGTAGTGTGGTAAACTTGGACAGCTGTAGTGTGGTAAACTTGGACAGCTGTAGTGTGGTAAGTTAGGACAGCTGTAGTGTGGTAAGTTAGGACAGCTGTAGTGTGGTAAGTTAGGACAGCTGTAGTGTGGTAAGTTAGGACAGCTGTAGTGTGGTAAACTTGGACAGCTGTAGTGTGGTAAACTTGGACAGCTGTTGTGTGGTAAGTTAGGACAGCTGTAGTGTGGTAAGTTAGAACAGCTGTAGTGTGGTAAGTTAGGACAGCTGTAGTGTGATAAGTTAGGACAGCTGTAGTGTGGTAAACTTGGACAGCTGTCGTGTGGTAAACTTGGACAGCTGTAGTGTGGTAGGTTAGGACAGCTGGAGTGTGGTAAACTAGGACAGCTGTAGTGTGGTAAACTAAGACAGCTGTAGTGTGATAAGTTAGGACAGCTATAGTGTGGTAAACTTGGACAGCTGTCGTGTGGTAAACTTGGACAGCTGTAGTGTGGTAAGTTAGGACAGCTGGAGTGTGGTAAACTAGGACAGCTGTAGTGTGGTAAACTTGGACAGCTGTAGTGTGGTAAGTTAGGACAGCTGGAGTGTGGTAAACTAGGACAGCTGTAGTGTGGTAAACTAGGACAGCTGTAGTGTGGTAAGTTAGAACAGCTGTAGTGTGGTAAACTTGGACAGCTGTAGTGTGGTAAACTAGGACAGCTGTAGTGTGGTAAACTTGGACAGCTGTAGTGTGGTAAGTTAGGACAGCTGTAGTGTGGTAAGTTAGGACAGCTGTAGTGTGGTAAGTTAGGACAGCTGTAGTGTGGTAAGTTAGGACAGCTGGAGTGTGGTAAACTTGGACAGCTGTAGTGTGGTAAACTAGGACAGCTGTAGTGTGGTAAGTTAGGACAGCTGGAGTGTGGTAAACTAGGACAGCTGTAGTGTGGTAAGTTAGGACAGCTGTAGTGTGGTAAGTTAGAACAGCTGTAGTGTGGTAAACTTGGACAGCTGTAGTGTGGTAAACTTGGACAGCTGTAGTGTGGTAAGTTAGGACAGCTGGAGTGTGGTAAACTAGGACAGCTGTAGTGTGGTAAACTTGGACAGCTGTAGTGTGGTAAGTTAGGACAGCTGGAGTGTGGTAAGTTAGGACAGCTGTAGTGTGGTAAACTTGGACAGCTGTAGTGTGGTAAGTTAGGACAGCTGTAGTGTGGTAAACTTGGACAGCTGTAGTGTGGTAAACTTGGACAGCTGTAGTGTGGTAAGTTAGGACAGCTGTAGTGTGGTAAACTAGGACAGCTGTAGTGTGGTAAACTAGGACAGCTGTAGTGTGGTAAGTTAGGAGAGCTGTAGTGTGGTAAGTTAGGACAGTTGTAGTGTGGTAAGTTAGGACAGCTGTAGTGTGGTAAGTTAGGACAGCTGTAGTGTGGTAAACTAGGACAGCTGTAGTGTGGTAAACTAGGACAGCTGTAGTGTGGTAAACTAGGACAGCTGTAGTGTGGTAAGTTAGGACAGCTGTAGTGTGGTAAGTTAGGACAGCTGTAGTGTGGTAAACTTGGACAGCTGTAGTGTGCTAAGTTAGGACAGCTGGAGTGTGGTAAACTAGGACAGCTGTAGTGTGGTAAACTAGGACAGCTGTAGTGTGATAAACTAGGACAGCTGTAGTGTGGTAAACTAGGACAGCTGTAGTGTGGTAAGTTAGGACAGCTGTAGTGTGGTAAACTTGGACAGCTGTAGTGTGGTAAACTTGGACAGCTGTAGTGTGGTAAGTTAGGACAGCTGTAGTGTGGTAAGTTAGGACAGCTGTAGTGTGGTAAGTTAGGACAGCTGTAGTGTGGTAAACTAGGACAGCTGTAGTGTGGTAAGTTAGGACAGCTGGAGTGTGGTAAACTAGGACAGCTGTAGTGTGGTAAACTTGGACAGCTGTAGTGTGGTAAGTTAGGACAGTTGTAGTGTGGTAAGTTAGGACAGCTGTAGTGTGGTAAGTTAGAACAGCTGTAGTGTGGTAAGTTAGGACAGCTGTAGTGTGGTAAACTTGGACAGCTGTAGTGTGGTAAGTTAGGACAGCTGGAGTGTGGTAAACTAGGACAGCTGTAGTGTGGTAAACTAAGACAGCTGTAGTGTGGTAAGTTAGGACAGCTGTAGTGTGGTAAACTAGGACAGCTGTAGTGTGGTAAACTAGGACAGCTGTAGTGTGGTAAGTTAGGAGAGCTGTAGTGTGGTAAGTTAGGACAGTTGTAGTGTGGTAAGTTAGGACAGCTGTAGTGTGGTAAGTTAGGACAGCTGTAGTGTGGTAAACTAGGACAGCTGTAGTGTGGTAAGTTAGGACAGCTGGAGTGTGGTAAACTAGGACAGCTGTAGTGTGGTAAACTAAGACAGCTGTAGTGTGGTAAACTAGGACAGCTGTAGTGTGGTAAACTAGGACAGCTGTAGTGTGGTAAACTAGGACAGCTGTAGTGTGGTAAGTTAGGACAGCTGTAGTGTGGTAAGTTAGGACAGCTGGAGTGTGGTAAACTTGGACAGCTGTAGTGTGGTAAATTAGGACAGCTGTAGTGTGGTAAGTTAGGACAGCTGTAGTGTGGTAAACTTGGACAGCTGTCGTGTGATAAGTTAGGGCAGCTGTAGTGTGGTAAGTTAGGACAGCTGTAGTGTGGTAAACTAGGACAGCTGTAGTGTGGTAAGTTAGGACAGCTGTAGTGTGGTAAACTAGGACAGCTGTAGTGTGGTAAACTTGGACAGCTGTAGTGTGGTAAGTTAGGACAGCTGTAGTGTGGTAAACTTGGACAGCTGTAGTGTGGTAAACTTGGACAGCTGTCGTGTGGTAAGTTAGGGCAGCTGTAGTGTGGTAAACTTGGACAGCTGTAGTGTGGTAAGTTAGGACAGCTGGAGTGTGGTAAACTTGGACAGCTGTAGTGTGGTAAACTTGGACAGCTGTCGTGTGGTAAGTTAGGGCAGCTGTAGTGTGGTAAACTTGGACAGCTGTAGTGTGGTAAACTTGGACAGCTGTAATGTGGTAAGTTAGGACAGCTGGAGTCTGGTAAACTTGGACAGCTGTAGTGTGGTAAACTTGGACAGCTGTCGTGTGGTAAGTTAGGACAGCTGTAGTGTGGTAAACTGTTGTAAACTGTTGTATAAGAAACTATTAAATTAATTTAAAATATTAGTAATTTAATAAGCTGTAATTAGTTTGGGTAGGTGACATGATTTAATTATCGACATCATGTAAACGTTGACCTGAGTTAAAATATTGGCTATAGAAGCTAGAAGTTTTGGCCCGAAACTTTAAAATGTGGATGTGATTTTGAAACTGTTTTCAACAGACGGGCAGAACTGCCCTGTTTGGCTGTGCCCTGGTCTGTGTCGCCCTGGGCACAGGGGGCATCAAGGCCAACGTCGGGCCGTTCGGGGCAGAGCAGATCTCGTCGCTAGGACCAGAGGCAGTGCAGTCTTTCTTTAATTGGTCAGTTAAGTCACATCTTGTGTTAATTAACACTTACTTTTGTTAGGCAGTTAAGTACCTCTTAAATTTGTCTGTTGTGGTTACCTACATATGCCTGTACCTGAACCTGTAACTGTGCCAGTAAATTACCCTATACCTGTGTTTGTAACTGTACCTGTGTTTACCTACCTGTACCTGACCCTGTGTTTACCTACCTGTACCTGACCCTGTGTTTACCTACCTGTACCTGTACCTGATCCTGTGTTTACCTACCTGTACCTGTACCTGACCCTGTGTTTACCTACCTGTACCTGTACCTGACCCTGTGTTTACCTACCTGTACCTGTACCTGACCCTGTGTTTACCTACCTGTACCTGTACCTGATCCTGTGTTTACCTACCTGTACCTGTACCTGACCCTGTGTTTACCTACCTGTACCTGACCCTGTGTTTACCTACCTTTACCTGTACCTGACCCTGTGTTTACCTACCTGTACCTGTACTTGTCCCTGTGTATACCTACCTGTAACTGTACCTGACCATATGTTTACCTACCTGTAACTGTACCTGACCCTGTGTTTACCTACCTGTACCTGTACCTGACCCTGTGTTAACCTACCTGTACCTGTACCTGTACCTGACCCTGTGTTTACCTACCTGTACCTGACCCTGTGTTTACCTACCTGTAACTGTACCTGATCATATGTTTACCTACCTGCACCTGTACCTGATTCTGTGTTTACCTACCTGTAACTGTAATTGACCATGTGTTTACCTACCTGTACCTGTACCTGACCCTGTGTTTACCTACCTGTACCTGACCCTGTGTTTACCTACCTGTACCTGACCCTGTGTTTACCTACCTGTACCTGTACCTGACCCTGTGTTTACCTACCTGTACCTGTACCTGACCCTGTATTTACCTACCTGTACCTGACCCTGTGTTTACCTACCTTTACCTGTACCTGACCCTGTGTTAACCTACCTGTACTTGTCCCTGTGTATACCTACCTGTAACTGTACCTGACCATATGTTTACCTACCTGTAACTGTACCTGACCCTGTGTTTACCTACCTGTACCTGTACCTGACCCTGTGTTTACCTACCTGTACCTGACCCTGTGTTTACCTACCTGTACCTGACCCTGTGTTTACCTACCTGTAACTGTACCTGATCATATGTTTACCTACCTGCACCTGTACCTGATTCTGTGTTTACCTACCTGTAACTGTAATTGACCATGTGTCACCTACCTGTACCTGTACCTGACCCTGTGTTTACCTAAATGTACCTGACCCTGTGTTTACCTACCTGTACCTGTACCTGACCCTGTGTTTACCTACCTATACCTGTACCTGACCCTGTGTTTACCTAAATGTACCTGACCCTGTGTTTACCTACCTGTACCTGTACCTGACCATGTGTTTACCTACCTATACCTGACCCTGTGTTTACCTACCTTTACCTGTACCTGACCCTGTGTTTACCTACCTGTACCTGTACCTGACCCTGTGTTAACCTACCTGTACCTGTACCTGACCCTGTGTTTACCTACCTGTACCTGACCCTGTGTTTACCTACCTGTACCTGCCCCTGTGTTTACCTACCTGTAACTGTACCTGATCATATGTTTACCTACCTGCACCTGTACCTGATTCTGTGTTTACCTACCTGTAACTGTAATTGACCATGTGTTTACCTACCTGTACCTGTACCTGACCCTGTGTTTACCTACCTGTACCTGACCCTGTGTTTACCTACCTGTACCTGTACCTGACCCTGTGTTTACCTACCTGTACCTGACCCAGTGTTTACCTACCTTTACCTGTACCTGACAGTGTGTTTACCTACCTGTACCTGTACCTGACCCTGTGTTTACCTACCTGTACCTGACCCTGTGTTTACCTACCTGTACCTGACCCTGTGTTTACCTACCTGTAACTGTAATTGACCATGTGTTTACCTACCTGTACCTGTACCTGACCCTGTGTTTACCTACCTGTACCTGACCCTGTGTTTACCTACCTGTACCTGTACCTGACCCTGTGTTTACCTACCTGTACCTGTACCTGACCCTGTGTTTACCTACCTGTACCTGACCCTGTGTTTACCTACCTTTACCTGTACCTGACCCTGTGTTTACCTACCTGCACCTGTACCTGACCCTGTGTTAACCTACCTGTACCTGTACCTGACCCTGTGTTTACCGACCTGTACCTGACCCTGTGTTTACCTACCTGTACCTGACCCTGTGTTTACCTACCTGCACCTGTACCTGACCCTGTGTTTACCTACCTGTACCTGCCCCTGTGTTTACCTACCTGTACCTGACCCTGTGTTTACCTACCTGCACCTATACCTGTACCTGACCCTGTGTTTACCTACCTGCACCTGTACCTGACCCTGTCTTTACCTACCTGTACCTGACCCTGTGTTTACCTACCTGTACCTGTACCTGACACTGTGTTTACCTACCTGTACCTGTACCTGACCCTGTGTTTACCTACCTGCACCTGTACCTGACCCTGTGTTTACCTACCTGTACCTGACCCTGTGTTTACCTACCTGCACCTGTACCTGACCCTGTGTTTACCTACCTGTACGTGTACCTGACCGTGTGTTTACCTACCTGCACCTGTACCTGACCCTGTGTTAACCTACCTGTACCTGACCCTGTGTTTACCTACCTGCACCTGCACATGTACCTGACCCTGTGTTTACCTACCTGTACCTGTACCTAACCCTGTGTTTACCCACCTGTACCTGTACCTGACCATGTGTTTACCCACCTGTACCTGTACCTGACCCTGTGTTTACCTACCTGCACCTGTACCTGACCCTGTGTTTACCTACCTGCACCTGTACCTGACCCTGTGTTTACCTACCTGTACCTGACCCTGTGTTAACCTACCTGCACCTGCACCTGTACCTGACCCTGTGTTTACCTACCTGCACCTGTACCTGACCCTGTGTTTACCTACCTGTACCTGACCCTGTGTTTACCTACCTGTACCTGTACCTGACACTGTGTTTACCTACCTGTACCTGTACCTGACCCTGTGTTTACCTACCTGTACCTGCCCCTGTGTTTACCTACCTGCACCTGTACCTGACCCTGTGTTTACCTACCTGTACGTGTACCTGACCGTGTGTTTACCTACCTGCACCTGTACCTGACCCTGTGTTAACCTACCTGTACCTGACCCTGTGTTTACCTACCTGCACCTGCACATGTACCTGACCCTGTGTTTACCTACCTGTACCTGTACCTAACCCTGTGTTTACCCACCTGTACCTGTACCTGACCATGTGTTTACCCACCTGTACCTGTACCTGACCCTGTGTTTACCTACCTGCACCTGTACCTGACCCTGTGTTTACCTACCTGCACCTGTACCTGACCCTGTGTTTACCTACCTGTACCTGACCCTGTGTTAACCTACCTGCACCTGCACCTGTACCTGACCCTGTGTTTACCTACCTGCACCTGTACCTGATCCTGTGTTTACCTACCTGTACCTGACCCTGTGTTAACCCACCTGCACCTGCACATGTACCTGACCCTGTGTTTACCTACCTGCACCTGTACCTGACCCTGTGTTTACCTACCTGCACCTGTACCTGACCCTGTGTTTACCTACCTGTACCTGACCCTGTGTTTACCTACCTGTACCTGTACCTGACCCTGTGTTTACCTACCTGTACCTGTACCTGACCCTGTGTTTACCTACCTGTACCTGACCTTGTGTTAACCCACCTGCACCTGCACATGTACCTGACCCTGTGTTTACCTACCTGTACCTGTACCTGACCCTGTGTTTACCGACCTGTACCTGACCCTGTGTTTACCTACCTGTACCTGACCCTGTGTTTACCTACCTGCACCTGTACCTGACCCTGTGTTTACCTACCTGCACCTGTACCTGACCCTGTGTTTACCTACCTGTACCTGACCCTGTGTTAACCTACCTGCACCTGCACCTGTACCTGACCCTGTGTTTACCTACCTGTACCTGTACCTGACCCTGTGTTTACCTACCTGTACCTGACCCTGTGTTAACCCACCTGCACCTGCACATGTACCTGACCCTGTGTTTACCTACCTGTACCTGTACCTGACCCTGTGTTTACCGACCTGTACCTGACCCTGTGTTAACCCACCTGTACCTGACCCTGTGTTTACCTACCTGCACCTGTACCTGACCCTGTGTTAACCCACCTGTACCTGACCCTGTGTTTACCTACCTGCACCTGTACCTGACCCTGTGTTAACCCACCTGTACCTATACCTTAACCCACCTGCACCTGCACATGTACCTGACCCTGTGTTTACCTACCTGTACCTGTACCTGACCCTGTGTTTACCGACCTGTACCTGACCCTGTGTTAACCCACCTGTACCTGACCCTGTGTTTACCTACCTGTACCTGTACCTGACCCTGTGTTTACCGACCTGTACCTGACCCTGTGTTTACCTACCTGTACCTGACCCTGTGTTAACCCACCTGTACCTGACCCTGTGTTTACCTACCTGCACCTGTACCTGACCCTGTGTTTACCTACCTGCACCTGTACCTGACCCTGTGTTTACCTACCTGTACCTGTACCTGACCCTGTGTTTACCTACCTGTACCTGTATCTGATCCGATGTTTACCTACCTGTACCTGACCCTGTGTTTACCTACCTGTACCTGTACCTGATCCGATGTTTACCTACCTGACCTGTATACCTGACCCTGTGTCTGCCTATCCCCACCAGGTTCTACTGGGTCATCAACGTGGGTGCTCTGATCGCCTACACGGTGGTGGCGGCCGTACAGCAGGACGTCAGCTTCGCCTGGGGTTTCTTCATCCCTCTGGCCACCATGGTGCTGGCCCTCACCATCTTCGTCTCCGTCAAGAACAAGTACGAGAGGACCACGCCCAAAGGTAGGGGGGACCACGCCCAAAGGTATGGGGTGAGGAACCATGCCCAAAGGTAGGGGGGACCACGCCCAAAGGTAGGGGGCCACGCCCAAAGGTAGGGGCGGGGGGAGGACCACGCCCAAAGGTAGGAGGAGGGTCGAACCACGCCCAAAGGTAGGGGGGAACCACGCCCAAAGGTAGGGGTGGGGGACCACGCCCAAAGGTAGGGGCGGGGGGAACCACGCCCAAATGTAGGAGCGGGAGAACCACGCCCAAAGGTTTGGGGTGAGTGGGAGACCACGCCCAAAGTAAGGGGTAGGTGTGGGACCACGCCCACAGGTAAGGGGTAGGTGGGGGACCCCGCCCAAAGGTAAGGGGTAGGTGGGGGACCCCGCCCAAAGGTAGGGGGTAGGTGGGGTCCACGCCCAAAAGTAGGGGCGGGGGGAACCACGCCCAAAGGTTTGGGGTGAGTGGGAGACCACGCCCAAAGTAAGGGGTAGGTGTGGGACCACGCCCACAGGTAAGGGGTAGGTGGGGGACCCCGCCCAAAGGTAGGGGGTAGGTGGGGTCCACGCCCAAAAGTAGGGGCGGGGGGAACCACGCCCAAAGATACCAGCAACAATAAACTCACTAAAGCTGACGGTCAACGTTTGTTATTGCAGGCAGTATCCTGACAGTCGCCTGGAAGATTCTGGTCCAGGGTACAGGGAAGGTAAGCGGTTAATTGGTCTCAGGTGTGTAGGGGTTAAGATGGTATCAGGTGTGTAAGGGTTAAGTTGGTCTCAAGTGTGTAAGGGTTAAGTTGGTCTCAGGTGTGTAAGGGTTAAGTTGGTTCAGGTGTGTAGGGGTTAAGTTGGTCTCAGGTGTATAGGGGTTAAGTTGGTCTCAGGTGTGTAGGGGTTAAGTTGGTCTCAGGTGTGTAGGGGTAAAGTTGGTCTCAGGTGTGTAGGGAAGGTAAGCGTTAAATTGGTCTCAGGTGTGCAGGGGTTAAGTTGGTCTCATGTGTTTAGGGGAGTGTAGGGGTTAAGATGGTCTCAGGTGTACAGGGAAGGTAAGCGTTAAGTTGGTCTCATGTGTTTAGGGGTGTGTAGGGGTTAAGATGGTATCAGGTGTACAGGGAAGGTAAGCGTTAAGTTGGTCTCAGGTGTTTAGGGGTTAAATTGGTCTCAGGTGTGTAGGGGTTAAGTTGGTCTCAGGTGTGCAAGGGTTAAGTTGGCTTCCGTGTCACAGGGGTTCAATCTTTCTCAGTCGTGCAAGGGTTAATTGTGTTTCCGGCTATATAAAATCAACCTGTGTTGGGGGGTTTTCTGTTGTCATTGTTGGATGATGTTTGTTATATGTCTAGTTGTGTGAGAGATGCGATTTGTAGTCACTTTTAAAAATGGGTCATTTTTAACACTGAACTTTAACCCCCTGAACTTGACCCCTCCGCAGTACAAGAAGCGAAACCCGCCTCCCGGAATGTTCCTCTTACACAATCTCTCACAGACTTTTCTCTCGTCTCCAGCGGCCCCCACACGCCCAGGCCCAGAAGTTTCCAGAAGGGAAGACGTTGCTGTGGAAGGCCAAGAAAACTTATGGCGGGAGCTTTGATGACGAGATCGTGGACGGAGTGGTCAGTGTCATCAAGGTCATCCCCTTCTGTCTGCTGGTCATCATGTACTGGGCAGTGTACTCACAGGTCAGTTCAGGTCACATCTAATATACTCACAGGTCAGTACAGGTCACATCTAATATAATCAAAGGTCAGTTCAGGTCACATCTCCTACATTCAAAGGTCAGTTGAGGTCACATCTAATATAATCAAAGGTCAGTTCAGGTCACATCCCCTATACTCACAGGTCAGTTCAGGTCACATCTATATTTGATGGTCAGTTTTCACATCTCCTGTACTCAAAGGTCAATATCAATTCCTCTAACATTTCATTTATCACAATTTCCAAATGTCAGTTTTTACACCTATCAAAAGTTCAGTTATGACATCCTAATATCGTTTGTCACATCTTCCTAATTTCAGTTGTCACATCTCCCACACCATCCAACAATTCTCCCCTTCTGTGTTCAAACATTTCAACTCATTAAAAGAGTTCGAATCAGGAAACGGTCAGACATGTTTTCGTTCCTAGACTTCAATCAGGCTTCAACACACACGTCGATTTCACGCCGGGAATCGAACTCAGAACCTCCAGGCGACCATTAGTGGGCCTGATTTTAACAGAGGTTAACATATCTTTAAATATAGTCACCAATACCTGCAACGTAGGCATATGACGAGTTGGTCTGGTCTTTCGGTTGTATTTTTATAAGAACCCCTTGGTCTAGGACAGTGGTTCTTAACAAGTCAGTCCCAGGTCTTCGGCTAGGTCAAGACGCACACCCGACTCAAATGATTCACGATCGGATATTGTCAGTGCGGACGATAGAACTATTAAGAAAGGTTCGATAAACGAAATGAAACTGGTGGGGTTTTTACCTCCAAAAGTTTAAGAACTAATGGTCGAGGGACTTCAGCAACATTGAACGCATGCATCCTTCAAACCTTCTATTAACTAGAAAAGCACTTCAGTGATCTTTAATGCATGCATCCTTCAAACCTTCTATTAAACAGCTGATCCTTGTTTCAGATGAACAACACATTCTTTGCTCAATCTGAACGTATGGATATCCGGATGGGAGATAGTATCAACATCCCAGCCGCGGCCCTCAACGCTTTCAACACCATCATCATCATCATCCTCATCCCCATCGTCGACAGACTAGTCTACCCTTGCTTCCAGAAGCTGGGCATGCCCTTGACCTACCTGAAGAGAATAGGTAATTGTGAAGGGGGGCGTAGATAGGATGGATGTCATCGTAAAGGGAGCATCAAGTTCACTATAAGTTGCCAATTTCTCATTATATATATATTATATATATATATATATATATATATATATATATATATGCATATATATATATATATGCATATATATATATATATATATGCATATATATATATGCATATATATATATATATATATATATATATATATATATATATATATATATATATATATATATATATATATATATATATATATATATATATGCATATATATATATGCATATATATATATATATATATATATATATATATATATATATATATATATATATATATATATATATATATATATATATACATATATATATATATATATATATTACAAAGAATATATTCATACATCTAAACAACTCATAGGAAGATGAAGTAGAGTTCATCTGTTAATTTGAAATCAGGTACTGTGTAAACAGTAATATGATCTGCTTAGACCTAGAATTTTATACATTTGCTCAGTGCAAATAACGTTACGTACAAAATATTTTTGCCTTTGTTATAAACTTGAGGAATTCTCATGCCCCTACCTGGATGCCCTTTGTGTATACACCCATGTCTTGCTTGGCTCGAGAATCTCGCTATGGGCAAGACGGGTGGGGGGTATGTTTTAAATAAGTATTAGCTTTAAATAAACAGTCTGGATTTCGATGAGGAAGAATATCTTATATTTTTGTGTAAGTCTGGATAGGTTTTTTTTATATATGTTGGTGGGCTCTGATGGATGGGATTCTGCTTTCGTGGCTGTTTTTTTTATTGTAGTTTTTGTGATTATTGGGTTGGATGTTAGTTTTTGTGATTATTGGGTTGGATGTTAGTTTTTGTGATTATTGGGTTGGCTGTTAGTTTTTGTGATTATTGGGTTTAATGTGTAATGGATGTGATGTGATGATGATTTTGTTGACTGTGGCGAATGAAACTAAAGAGCGATGGCGATGATGTGTGACGGTTGTTGTGTGGGATTCTGATGTGTGGTTGTGTGATGTGTGGTTGTGTGATGTTTTAAAAAGGCTGGTAGTGATGGTGTTGATACTGGTGACGGCGGCAGGACAAATGGCCTCAGGACAAATTACCTAAGGACAAATAACCTCAGGACAAAAGATCTCAGGACAAATTATATCGATGTGATGTGATTTGTGGTGTGTGACGTCTTGCATCGTTTGGTTCTGGTGATGTTTTGTGGTGGTAGTGATATTGTATGGTGATGGTAGTGATATTGTGTTGACGGTAGTGATATTGTGTTGATGGTAGTGATATTGTGTTGATGGTAGTAGCGTAGTGATGTTGTGTGAGGATGGTAATGTTGTGTTGATGGTAGTGATGTTGTGGTGATGTTGTGGTGATGATGGTGATGTTGTGGTGATGATGGTGATGCAGTGTTGATGGTAGTGATATTGTGTTGATGGTAGTAGCGTAGTGATGTTGCGGTGATGGTGGTGATATTGTGTGGTGGTGATGCTATATGGTGGTAGTGATGTTGTGTTGAGGGTGGCGATGTTGTGTTGTGGTGATACTGGTGACGTTTGGCAGATCGCATCGTTTGGTGATGGTGTGGATGTTGTGGTGATGGTAGTGATGTTGTGGTGGTGATGCTGTGTGGTGGTGATACTGTTGACGTTTGGCAGTTCGTATCGTTTGGTGGTGGCGGGGATGTTGTGGTGATGATGTGGAGGTGATGCTATGTGGTAGTTATGTTTATTACAATCTCTTACCCCCAACCCCCCCCCCCACCACTCTGACTCTGATTCCTCCCCCCAGGGATCGGGATGATATTCGCCGCGGCCAGCATGGTAGTGGCTGGCATCGTAGAGATCTACCGAAAGGACGGAACCTTCCACGAGCAGACCCTGGCTGACCAGACGTTCAACTCCTCCAGCATGTCCGTCTTCGTCCAGATCCCCCAGTTCGCCCTCATCGGTGCCAGCGAGATCTTCACCAGCGTCACAAGTACGTCATCGTAGGCCGTGTGACGTAGGGGCACTGTTGACGTCACAGTCTGGGTTGGGGTAGTGGGTGTTATATTTAACATAGGGAAGAATTTTTAGCACAAAAATATTTTGTCATTTGGTTTTTGGGTGGTGTTGGGTAGGCAAGTAGAATGAGTTGTAAATTAGAATAGGCAAACTCGGGTGAGGTGTATATCAGAGAATATTCTAATTTTCTTCAATGCATTGTATTTATTAAAATGGGGAGGGGTGGATTTTTTATGGTAAAAATTAAAATCATGAAATATCTAGTCTATAATAACCAATAAAACCTTTACTTGCAGTGTTTCTTCCAGTGTCAACTTTTTTCGGGGGAGGGGGGCGGACACTAGTAAAAGTGTAAGTTTACTATATAAAATCCATCTCGTTCGGGGGGGGGGGGGGGGGGGGAGGTAGACTTTCTTAGGGGGGGGGGGGGCTGAGTCTGGAAGAGATGCCTGGAAGAAACTCTGCTTACTTCTTCTACATATTTAAATCATAAAATCTACTACTGCTATACATTTACATCATAAACTTTACTACTGCTATATATTTACATCATAAACTTTACTACTATACATTTACATCATAAACTTTACTACAACTATACATTTACATCATAAACTTTACTACTACTATACATTTACACCATAAACTTTACTACTACTATACATTTATATCATAAACTTTACTACTACTATACATTTACATCATAAACTTTACTACTACTATACATTTACATCATAAAATGTACTACTACTATACATTTACATCATAAAATGTACTACTACTATACATTTACATCATAAATTTTACTACTGCTATACATTTACATCATGAGCTGATATATTATATGACCACAGCGCTAGAATTTGCCTACAATCAAGCACCAGTCGCCATGCAAGGTCTTCTGACTGGGCTATTTTTAGCCGCTTCCGGTTTTGGCAACTGGGTATCCACCGCCATCTTGGCCATCGTGGAGGAGGCGACGAAAAGCGGTAAGAGTTGAATAGTTCCACACGCTGCACTGGGAGGGGAGTAGCTACTAAATAATTATCTCACCATCAACCTCACCACTTACCTCATCTTTAAACACCATTCATCAACTGTAAAAATCCATCATAAAGAGGTAACCGTACTTATAACTCTACCGCTAACCTCACCTGATCTCTGACCCCCCCCCCCTCTAACCACACCTCGCCACCTAACCTTTAATCCCAACTCTATTCTCATCACTAACTCCACCTCTAGCCCCACTTCTAAGCCCAACTCTACTGCATCACTAGACATCTCTAACCTCTACTTCTATCCAAACTCTACTGCACCATTAAACCCATGCCTAACCTTTACTTTAACCCCAACTCTACTGCACCACTAAACCCACCTCTAACCTCTACTTCTTTCCCAACTCTACTGCACCACTAAACCCACCTCTAACCTCTACTTTAACCCCAACTCTACTGAACCACTAAACTCATGTCTAACCTCTACTTCTTTCCCAACTCTACTGCACCATTAAACCCATCTCTAACCTCTACTTTAACCCCAACTCTACTGCACCACTAAACCCACCTTTAACCTCCCTTCTAACTCCAACTCTTACTTCATCTCTACTACACCTCGTACCCACCCCCACCCCTGCCCCACCACTAACCCCACCACTAACCCCACGACTAACCCCACCTCTACCCCACCACTAACCCACCCCTACCCCACCACTAACCCCACCCCTACCCCACCACTAACCCACCCCTACCCCACCACTAACCCCACCCCTACCCCACCACTAACCCCACCCCTACCCCACCACTAAACCCACCCCTACCCCACCACTAACCCCACCCCCCACCCCTACCCCAACACTAACCCCACCTCTCCCCTCCACAGACCCCTGGTGGGGTGACGAGATCAACGACACCAAGATGGAGAACCTGATGTTCCTACTAGCCGGTCTGATGGTCCTCAACTTCTTCATCTTCTGCATCGTCGCCCACTTCTACACCTACCAGGACCCGGCAACCTTCGAGAAGAAAACCCCAGAGGTCGTGGTGGAGCCGGAGAGCCAGGGTCTGGAGAACGATTCCAAGTCGTACAAAACTTTTAGCGACCCTACACAGACAAAACCACGGGACACCACGTCTTTGTAAACAAACAATTTTTTTTAAAGTAACAGTAAACACGATGTTAAAAATGGACCAATTTGTTGCCATGACAACCAGGAAGCAATCAAAATTACGCCTCGGTAATTACAGATCGTTTAACTTAAATAAAAGTCTGCTTACATATATATATATACTGCGTGCCTTAAGTAAAACTTGGAGGGACGCATGCGCACACAGTTGTATTCTTATCCTGGAGTCTTTCGTGAACTTGAGAGAGTGGATGTTGGCATTGTAGAGTGGATGGATAACCTTCAATGGATGAATGTGGATTGATTGGTGCATTTATGGATAGATGGATGTAAGAATCTACAGATATATATATATATATATCTGAAAAGTGAATGTGAATGTACACATGTCATTTGCAATCAGTTTATCTGGTAGTGTATGAACCAAATATTCTTGTTAACTTATTATCTTATAATTATTAATCCTACAATTGCCGCAACAAATTTCTGCTTGTCGTTAATCAATAAATCAAAAAATTCCAAAATTGTTTTTGTGGTACTGGGGCATATTTTAAATAGCATACCAAAGACACTTATAGACTTTGTAAATACATCTTTTAAAAAATCATTAGTTGGTTGTTGTTGTTTTTATTATAATTGTCTGTTGTTGTTGTTTTTTTTTTTTTGAGTCGTTTTATTTTACTGATTAGATAAATTAATGTCTCCATATTCTGACGTTGGGATAATTGTGTCTTGATTTCTGCATATCTGGTCTAAATTGATCTGAATTTATGTGAGTGGTCTACATATTCAGGTAAAGTGGACAAAAAATGTTCAAAGTTCTGCTACTAAAGTTCATGCAAAAAATAAGTAAAAACAAACGCTTTTTTTTTAAACCACGCCAGGCAAAGACATTTAATTTAGTTTCAGAAGAAGATTCCAGCAGATGACATTTCAATACATCTCGAGAAGAATTTAAATAGAACTTTAGAGTCTCGAGACAAGCTATTACGATAGTATTTTTAAAAATCTCGAGACAAACAATGTCGATAGAACTTTTAAATTCGCGAGACAAACTATTTCGAATAAGCTTATAAATTCGCGAGACAAACAATTTAGATAGAACTCAGAAAATCGCGAGACAAACAATTTAGCTGATACAAATGTACAAGCTGGCAACATGTTGAACTGATACCGCGAGTCAAGGGTTGTAAACCTCACGTGTAATCATTGTGTGGCTCTGTGAGTTCAGATAAAAAGTGATTATTTCCGCGTAACAAACTTCACTTAACAATTGAGTTAATCAGACATACTACTCTATTATACCCTGGGTTGTTGTTTTTGTGTACTCTTACAAACTCTTTTATTCAAAGTATGTGTGTATGTGTGCGTGAGAGAGTGTGTGTGTGTGTCGGTTTGTATGTGTGTGTGTCTGTGTGTGTGCCTGTCTGTCTCTGTGTGTGTTCTATGATGACCTACAGGATCCGAACGCTACTATCGGGCCAGCAGTCTTGCGTACTACCCTCCGGCCACATCATTCCACTGGGTACCGTAGTCTAGAAGACACGGTCTAAGTCTCGCAAAAAGATATCTTTAGTGTCAGAAATTCGCGAAACTCGCGAATTTCAATGTTTTACCATCAGACAGTGGCGTAGCATCACCAGCAAAGTGCCCACAGTATCATCATACCATCTTTAATTCCATACAACCATCACAGTTCCATCAGACCATCACAGTACCGCATACCATCTTTAGTACCATAAAACCACCACACTATCACAGTACCATCATACAATCACAGTATCATCATACCAACACAGTACCATCATACCATCACAGTACCACCATACCATCACAGTACAATCATACCATCACAGTACAATCATACCATCACTGTACCATCATACCATCACAGTACAATCATACCATCACAGGACCATCATACCATCACGGTACCATCATACCATCACATTACCAAAAAAGTACCATCATACCATCACATTACCACCATAGTACCATCATACCATCACATTACCATCACGGAACCATCACAGACCCAGGTGGAAAGACAATCAGCGGCAACTTTGGACAAAAGATGAAATAAATCGCCGGCAGGTATGTTCAAAACAAATACAATCTTCACGTGACAAACATGACGTGATTTAGTGTGACAAACGTGACGGGACAGTCACGCCAAGACTGACGTGACAACTCGAAAAAATAATGCAACGTTTTAATCCAGCCTAACACTTCGATACCCTCATCACGCCACGTGACAAAAATCATCACACATCCTCTCAAGACCGAAATGAACAAAGAAACGTGACGTGACAGTCACTTGTCTCCCCTACCCCGATCATCGCCCTTTATCTCGACATGCTCACGCAGGTGAGTACAGGTAACAAAAATCAACCGCAGGTGAGCTCAGGTACAGAGGTAGACAAACACAGACAACCAGGTCTGGCATTAATAACAAAAAAAGAACAAAAATAGTTCGTACCTTATCACAGTTCCAACTGTCCCCATCCATCCCCCACCCCCCGGCTGCCGTTTGTTGATGTATGTGATGGGTCCAAGGTTAGACCAAATACCGGATTGTGATGGAAGTTTCAAGTGACGGGTTCAATGTTGGAGTCACATGACTGTCGTGATGGTGTGGAGGCGGTGGCCAACATGTTAATAGAACTGTCAACACAACGGTGGGTTAAAAAGTTTGATTTGTGGTCTTTAGATACGGTTCGTGGTTATATATATATATATATATATATATATATATATATATATATATATATATATATATATATATATATATATATATATATATATATATATATATATATATATATATATATATATATATATATATATATATATATATAATTTATTTATTCATTTATTTATTTGTTTGTTTATTTATTTATTTATTTATTTACTAGCCGTCCCGGCCAGGCCCTGCTCTGGCTTCTGTGAAAAACCTTTCTGTTAAAGACCATTACCTGTGTGTTTAGTAATCATCATAAACCCGGCATTGCCCACCCAAACCACAACCAACCAAAACAACAAAACGCAAACATAACGCTAACACAATTACAAATACAAACGAAAACAAAAACCTAACAACAAACCCAACCACAACCACAAAAACCAATACAAACACAAAGAAAAAACAAACAAAAAAGCAAACGAAAACAAAAACCTAACAACAAACCTAACCACAAACACCAATACCAACACAAAAAAAAAACAACGAAAAAGCAAACGAAAACAAACCAAATCCAAACGCAAAACCAACCAAAAACACAAATACAAACCCAAACAAAAAAACACAAACAAAAACGAAAAAAGAAAGAACAAAAACGAACCAAATCAAAACGCAACCACTAACGCAAACCCACCTAAACACAAAGAAAACACTAACGCGAACATAAACGCCCGGGGCGGAATCACCTGTTTTAGCTTAATGAACGACTATAGTACCCCAACTTATTCACAGTCTTTTGCACTCACTTAAACGAACGCGCCTGTTTCAATTTGATGAACAATTTTAATACTCCAAGCTTATCCGTAAAATACCTACAACATTTGCACTTGATCAATCCCCGCTAATTATGTAATTATTTTTTTCCCAACACCAAAACAAAGTAATTAAAAAGTAAATTATTTTCACGGAATGCAATGGTTTTATAAAGGGAAGTAATTGTGTTTTTCCTAATTTATCAAAGGGAAGTAAGTGCTATAGGACTAAATAAAGACATAATTAGAATTTTTGTAAAAGATGATATTTTTTTTAAAACTTGTGTTTAATGAACATGCCGACAATTATTACTATAATTTGAAAAATGAAAATTATTTCCCAACACTTTCAATAGTAATTTTTTAGCTCATAAATTTAGACAAATGCGCACGATAATTTTTCTAACACTTAAATTCGTTCAATTCCAACGACATACAAATGCATTACATACAGAACTGAGCTTTATATTTTAGATTTATGTATTTACTTATTCATTCATTCTTAATTTATTTACTTTATATTTTAATGTAGGCCTATATATATATATATATATATATATATATATATATATATATATATATATATATATATATATATATATATATATAATTATATGTGCATGTATATGTATGCATATATATATATATATATATATATATATATATATATATATATATATATATATATATATATATATATATATATATATATAATTTATTTATTTATTCATTTATTTATTCATTCATTCATTCATTCATTTATTTATTTATTTATTTATTTGTATTTTAATGTATATATATTTATATGTGCATGTATATGCATGCATATATATACGTATATATATATATATATATATATATATATATATATATATATATATAGGCTATATAAGTGTATATATATACATATATATATGTATATATATATATATATATATATATATATATATATATATATATATATATATATATATATATATATATATATATATATGCATATATATATATATATATATATATATATATATATATATATATATATATATATATATATATATATGCATATATATATATATATAGGCTAACTATATACACAGTTCTCCTACACATACACAAGCGTCTCACCCATAAACATTTTTCTTACAACTCCCCAAACTTATTTAAATTTACCGAAAATTACAGAGTTTCTTTCAGACATCTCTCCGGGAGACTTTCTCCCACATACAATATTGAATAACTATTTATTCTATATAGAAAATAAATAGTTTAACAAAAAAAGTCGCTTCCCTCCCATCCCTTATGAATAATGTCTGAAAGAACACTTGCAGATTACTGTTTAAATGGGCCTAGGACATTACCCCCTTCCGTCAATTAACCCCCTGACATCCCCTGAAATTACTCCCCGAAGCATTCCCCCCCCCTTGTCGTTTACCTCCTTTCAATTACTCACCTCCCCCAAGCTCAAGAATCCTGACCCCAACTCTAACTCAAGACATATATCCTACCTTGATTCTAACCTTAAGAAAAAGCTT